AAACGCTCAGTATGGTTGAATTATCAAACAGTAATGTAGTATTAAGAATACCTTGAAATACGGTATAGAAAGGGTATTCTGTGTGAATGAAAATTACTTGCAAAACAGATTTGTGTCCTTACTGCTCCATTTCATGATTGACATCGCAGATATATGAAAACTGATAATGATAAAGCAAGAAGCTATTTATACTTTCCTACGTAAAAACTTTCTCCAAGGCGAACATTCCCAAAAGAAATGAAGCGAGACGCATCATACTAATTAAAAACTTGTTATTGTATGTATCCACCAGTCCCTCTCTTATAAAACTTACTTGGGAGTGAAGACCCAACTTAAAAACTGACCCGCTTCGACAAGCTTTCAAATGAGCCCTCTACCACATCTCAAAATATTCTGGTGGCCTCACAACAGGTTTCAAACGTTAGCCGTTTAGCTCTTTAAATGTTAATATATAATTGTCAATTGCATCATTATGTTCTGTCACAGTTAATATATTTTAGAGCTACACACAGCAAATCATCTAACACTTTTGTCAATTAAATGCGGCATTTACGAACATATTGTCTTATTCAGGCGACAATATGTTCGTAAATGTCATAAGAAGCAGGATTTCTTCAGATTAGTAAGTCCTTAATATTTTATTACTTCCTTCTATTAACTATTCTCATCGGCAGATAATAAAACTTTCGCACATATTCAACTCAATGAAAATATTATTTGAGTGTAATGACATACTCATGACCTTTAAATTTCTCTACCTGTAATTTAGTACTGCGATACAAATATTTTCACAAAAATTTTTGAAGAGAACAGTGTATGTGGATTCTAAAAAGAGCTTAAGCCATTCATGTAGGTCTCTGCACACTTGGCATTTACTTACGTAACGTTTTTACTTTTAGTATTGAATCATATGATTACATGTGTTTTAGTATTGAGTGTTTAAAGATTTTCATGAATTAAAGGTGGTTTTCAGGAGATCTAGTGTTCATAACAAAATGCGTAAAAATCCATACGATTAAAAATACAAACAATTCTAAAATGATTCTTCAGTTTTATTCCCCAAAATTCTTCTGGCAAACCGCGTGTGTGTAAGTCAAAGGCAGCGTCAGAAAGTATTCATCGGGAATGTCAAAATTAATTATGCACGTAAATTAATTAATTACAAGAACTTCATCCTTTGTCTGTGCTTCATGTTCCGATGAAATATCTATTAAAGTAGATTAACTCATCAAGTGAACGGAAATCCTTTTTGTCTCCCAAGATGTACAATGCTATTTTTATTTTAAAATTACGTCTTCGAATTTTTTTAAATAATTCAATGAAATTTTAAATTCAAAACAATACAATAGAATACGTGTCATTAAAATGTAATTTCTTGGAATGGAAGTATGGGGCAATTCAAACCTTGTGTACTCCTTTATGTGGCATAACTTGTTTAGGATAATTTGCATTTTGCAGTGAATCGAAAGCAAAGCTTCCTAAGTAAACTCAATAGAATCGTGTTCTTGATTAATATAATCACTTGATCAGTATTATTTTCATTAAAGTACTTACGAATAAAAGACAAGGTGATCATATTTTAAAAACCCAGAAAAACTACATTTGACATTTTCTTGGTAAAAAAGGAAAAGAACATTCGAAAGTAGAAAATGCAGTACGACACTCACTATAAAAGCAAAATCCTACAAGTTTTCACATTGTTTTCAGGTTTTCCTTTTTATAATTAAAATTGTAAACGATTGTAAACCTTTGTGAGAATTGTTTCCTTGGTGCAGACTACAAAACTAGATGTATATTATAAAACTGAGGCCGATAGTGGAGTCAATCCCTATTATCTGATTATTTTATGACACATTCCTTATGTTATGACGAATGAAGGAAAAAACAGATGTACACGTTTTTAATTTATAAGAAGCAGTACTTTTATTTTTTTCATGTGAGAACGTCGAATTTTAATAATTTCTACGCACGTAGTGAGAAGACACCTTCTGAACAGTTAACTTGTGAACTATTAACACAAATACCGTATGTAAATTCAGAATACAGAATGGTAATTTGAGCCCATTGCACTAACCTAGTTTCTTGTACATTTAATATCCACCATAGCAAAGAATCAGAAGTTATGCACGTCCCGCTCACGTTGTCATGCTAACATCCGTAGCATTTATAGTTGTTCTTTACAAATAACATTACAAAACTGAAATAACAAAACAATTTGAGGAAGAATCTCAATGGTGCTGCCAGTGGCGAAGTAGTAACGAAAGATTTTGATGTCCGTTTAGTGAGGACTTCAATCCTATTTCTCATGCGTGGAAATGAGTATTTAAAGAGTAGTTTGTTGTATTTCAGTAACATGCTTTCATTTCCTTTTGTGTTCGCGGTTATGTATGCACAAAAACATGAGATTTCTACTCAGATGAATTCATATGAAAAAAATAATAATAAATTGATCTGTTAAAATGGTCTCTTAATAACAAGCACAACAATCTATTTACAATTATGGCACATGCTTCTAGCCACTATAATTCTAGCAATTCTTCATCGTTATTTTTATCATGTTTTCAAGTAATATCATACCTACGTTTTTTATGATACTTCATAAAATCGTAAGAGTGGCGCGTAAATAGAGAAGAAACAATTTAATTAACAATTAGATCGGTAATTCGTATTAGCAATAATTTGATTTATCGTAAATTTTTTGAAGAAATTGCGGTACGTATTATGTCATTTCATTGATTTCTGGATTGAGCTTTCTCAATTTTATTGACCTCGTGTAAAATTTGTTTCTTTAAGAGTATTCACAAGAGCGTCGACTTATTTGAAAAGGATCTCGATTTTCTCCGGTTACAACGGAGAAGAGTCAAAAGTTAAAAGTACCTTAGAAAATCAGCTGAGCGAAAACAAAGAGATACTATGCGTGTTAACGTTACATTAACAAAATCGTAAATATCTAATCATTTTCTTCCAAATGAGACATTCATGAGAAAATAATTCTAGACAACTTTTTAAGAAACATGAATTACGGTTGAAGTCGTTGCATTTGCAACCCTACATTTTCTGCTAGTTTACGAACACGATTTCCTGGCTTTTGTAAATTATAAAGTTGGTTGTTTATCAAACGATTAGGGATGATCCTTTCGTGCCAGTTTTAATTTAATCGACATTCACATTCCCTCAATTTAATAGAAGTTCATCTCATTAGGAAAAGTAAGAAAACTACAACTTTGTGATAGTTCAAGTACATTTTATACTTCCTCACTCAGACGATCTTTCGTCGCGTTCTGTTCACCCACGTGAAACCTTGTCACGTTGCCATGTAGACCTAAATCTTGGATCCACAGATTCTAAACATTAAAGGTATTAGGACTTTAAATGTTCGTTTATGCTATATTTTAAAACACTAGAATAAAAAGAAGTTTTACTCTTATTCATAAATACTGAAAAGATAACATAATAATGGAATTATAATCGTTTTTATATTCGAATAATAATGTGTGCGCGCCAAGATTCTTTTTCAGTTTATCTTAGCAGTAATACTAATTTTACGTCTATTTTTTTTATTGTACACAATATAAAAGCTCTGTTGACATGAACATATTCAACACTGGACTAACAAGTTCAGTTCTTTCATTATTTTTTTTCTTTTCATTCCTTTACCTTAGGTTTTGTCCTTCACTATATCGTTGAGAGAAACAATTATCATCTAAATGCAAACTGTCATTCCTCAAACATTTGTGTTTGATGAAAAAATTACCCATTTACATTTTGTGTTAAGAATTATCCGATACTGATCTCAATAATTTATGTTAATACTCAATTATAACATGAAAAGGTGACAAAAAATATGACAGAATATTATTAATTTTATCGCAAAAAGTACCGTGGAACGAAAATATACAAGACAATTTATACTGTACTTTATGATACACTACCCTAAAAGAAAATGTAGATACAAATATATAATAGATCATTGAAACACACTGTGCCCACGAAACGTAACATGCAAGATAACTTTCAAACTAGTTATTATCAATTAGAAAATTTTGTTTCGTTATATTGAATCGTTCGTGAATATGCGACAAAACTACTACTCACCAGATGATGTTCACTCTTAGCTTCAGGAATATGCAACACTTGTTAAAAGACGAAGTTAATAAGGGTACACACTACGTATCACTATAATAATTATTGCTTTTGTTACGTTTGAACAACAATCGCTTTTCAACATCAGCAATTTCCATGCTGAATGGAAACCGTATGATTGCTCTAATGAACACACTTCACCACGCGACAACTGCACTCGCGGAGGCGTATCTTCCGTAAATAAATTATTGGGTTCGTAAATTCTTTTGACATCGTCATTGTGGCCCGCTGCGTGTCAGGTGTTGCGTTGAAAAATTTGAGGCATAGTATTGTCGAACGATGAAAACGTCTTGTTGCACTATCGGAATGGTGTTTCGTACAGTCTCATGGTTTTGATTCCGTTACCGCGCTGAGTACTGTAGGACCAGAGCCTGACTGAGATAGGGCGCCAACGAACAGTATTTGATGTTTTCGGCGCGTCGTAACCAGGGCAACGGCGTCGAATGAGATTCTCGCGTTGGGTACGCATGCGTCGGAATTTCAAATTGGAGCAGAAAGGGGCGTGGCTTCAAAGGAGAGGGGAGGATATGAAAAATAAACTGAAGGAATCCATCATTACTTCAAATTGAAACAACGTAATAAATAACAATAAAAAAGAATTCCAATAAACAAGTTCACGTCGTATGATGAGGTATGAGAAATACTCTCTTGGATTTTGTTTGCAAGTATTAGATAATGCTTTTTTTTTTGTTTTGTTTTTCATCGATAGTGATTCGTATTTATAATACTGCTTAAAAGACTCTCCTATAAACCGTCTCTTCAGTACTTTAGAAACAAAATAACTCAAAAATAATGTGTTTTTTTAAAGATTTTTCCGTATGTATCGCATTTCGATATTCATATTTTATCAGAGAATATCTAGCTAATGCCACGGAATAACGAGCGATGTCAAGATAGAAATTGCCCAATGTTACGCATATATAAGTAGTCGGAGCGTGAAAGTACGAGCTTGGAAGTGGTATTTACACACTATGCTCGTTATAGATCGTGAAAGTATTTACTTAAAAGTTTTTAAGAGAGATATCGACTCCAGGTGTGTTGCCTTCCTAGGTGGATGAGTCATTAGGAACATGGCCTTGACAACACGGAAGGCAAAATGGTGATCAGCGTTACACCCTTGGAATGTAAACCAGTGTAGTCTGCTCAGTGCCCTGGCAAGAAGTTCACATTGGAGTGGTGTAGATTAATCTAGTCAGTTTTAATTAAGTGCGTTGTACACATAAGTTCTCTTGAGGAAATAACCTCAAGAGATTTACATAACATAACCTAAACCACATACGCTGTAAAATCGAACAATAACATCAACATGCCTGCGAGTGGCCCAGTGTATCAGCCAACAACTGTTACCTACGAGCAACAGAGTGACTGGGCACCTGTTAGTTATTTATCGCAAACAGTAAACAATGGTGTTAACCGATCTAAATGCTTGCAGTGGCTTCTTTTGGTGGCTGGACTTTTTTGCATCGCTGCCGGATTAATTATGTTGGTGGAAGGGGCAGTTGATTATTCAGAAATTCAGCAAGGGAAGGAGGATCGAGATACAACAGGCGATTTGGCAATCGCTATTACTGGTGGTGTCCTGACAGTTTTAGGCATTTTGTTCATAGGATTCTACATTCGTGTTGCCAGGAGAAGAAAAGGATGTCCATGTTTCCCAAGTAAAGACCAGAGGTTAGCGAGACAGCTTGATAACCATGGTACAAATGGACAGGTACGTGGCCCCTATCTTTTGTACTGAAATAATTTGATTGTTGTAATGATGAAAGTCTTATTAAGACTGTGGAATTCTAGTTTCTTTTACTAGTTGTAAGAGTTCAAAAATCTCTTTAGAATGGCTTATTGAGAAATAAATGACCCATGCTTTTTCCATCTTTCTACCTATGTCATATCAATAGGATTCCTGTGGAATTCTTGGTAGAAATCAATGTAAGTGCCCAGTTTTTAGCAATATAAAAGTGTCTTCTAATGAACAGTATGTCAGAGATGTTCAATAGCTTTTAAAACATTTTTGGCATTTCATATCAATAATTACTATAATACAAAATGAGTACAAATCCATGGATTGTCATTTGTCATTTTTTTTGCAATAATTTATTAATACATACATCCAGTCTTTACATACATCCAGGTTTTTCAAGCTAATGACTAATGCCAGACAAATTTCAGTGATGTGTATTGCGTGACGTATTTATTGTTGCTTGATGTAGGAAGATGTGTTGTATAGAAGTAACCTGATTATTCAAATAAGTCAAATTAAGCTAGTCATTGAGTGTGCATTCAAAAACTCTCATTTGAACATTTGGGTAAGAAAATGTTGCACAAAGAATTGAATCTGAAATACGTTTTTGTCCTGTGTTTTGTGTCTAGGCAGTAAGTGAAGAGGGATTATTAACCTGTTAAGTGAAAGAACTTCATTTACAATTAAGTAGTTCATTTTGTGTCCAATATTACACCAATTTGCTGGGCAGACTATTTGACCAAATTAATCTTTGATAAAGCACATTATAAGAATTTTAATGTGACCTTCAAACATTTCAGATAGTTTCCTGATTTTTTTTATTGCAGTACTTTTTAAAATATCATTTATTGCAAGGATATGTTACCTCTTGCCGGGAATGCTCCTATTTGTTAATCAAAAATGCATGGTTGCTCTTGTTACTTGCTTTGCATTTCAAATTTCTGTATATGTTTAATATGAAATCAAATATTGTTTGAAAACTGTTAATAAATATACTTTGTACCGAATGTAACATTTCAAAATTATAAATAATTATTGCTGCAAACTTGCCAGTTTTGTTTGTTGCAAAATTTGGGAAGGGCGATTATGAATTTATAATTTCTGCTGTAGTGCAAAGATTTTCATTAGAAAATGGATGCTGGGCTCAGAAATATTATTAGTGGAATGCAAATGTTCTACTAATTTTTTGTCCATACGTTAATGCCACGATCTGCAAATTTTCCTTGCAGTTTGTGATAGCGTTTGTGTTAGTTGTGTTATTGTTAATTAGTTAAGAAAATATTTACTTATTTGAGACACTTTTACTTCATTTTGTTTGCTTTTTATATTATTGAAAACAAGAATTTAATTCAGTGTTAATCTGCATTAACGCATTTTAATTAAATGTGTAATTTGTAGAAGTAGTTTCGACTAGATGCCATGACTGTGAAGAGCAGATCTGGCATTTGAAAGTGAGTGAGAATGTATGCCTGTCACTCTTACAGATTCTGACTCTGAACCCATCAACGGATCTTTTGGTTACCGCACAGTATGGTCCAGTGTCAGAAATTGCCTATCAGCCTCCTGCTGTCTCTGAAGAAGAGGAAACTCGGAAACTTATGGGCAGTGATAATAAAGAATGGTAAGCATTTACTCACTTTCTTAGAAAGTGTTACAATTTAGTACTTGCTGATATATCGCAGATGCACTAATGTATTTGTAGAAAGAAAAACACAACCAAAAAAAATTGTTGTAAAGTATATTTTGAGTCTTGAAAAATGTTTTCAAACAAGTGTTCAATAATAACGCATGGTTTGATATATTTAATTGACTATTAACTTTCCATATGGAGTGTTCTGTTTCCATTCAAGTAAAAAAAATATATTTTTTTAATCTTCTGATATTTCTTTATAAAAATCTTTTAATATTTCCTTCTTTGTGTTTTTCATGTGTAACAATTATTAGGAGGGCAATATTTTTTTTAAATAGAGCTTAATGTGGTGATTGCATAAAGAGGGTGCTCACAACATAGTAATAGCATTCTATTGACAAAAAATTTATGTGATAGTAAAATAACACAATTGATTTGTTATGGTTTCAAGATCATGGAATCATTATGAAATTCATAGAATGGTAAGCAGCTTATTATTGCATGTTAGGAATTCCTTGGAATACTGATTGGAAATGCCTGTTATTCAGAAATGAACATTTATGTATCTATCCTTTGAAATGTTTTGTGTGCCCTAATATGTGCCATTTTTATAGAGAAGGTTATCAAGAGTTCTTTGTGACTGTTTCTCTGTTCCTGTTAATGTCAGTGTCACCTTTGTGACACTCACTGATATTGATTCAATCTTAAAGGTCAGAAAGTGAGAGATTCAACTTCAACCGAAACTTATATTTATATGTTTGAGCTTGAGTGAGAGATACAAATTTGCATATTGCCCAACACTTGGGCACAATTTTTGTCTATTTTTGAAATTTGAACATGTTTCTTTTGAAAAATCAAAATAAGAACACAATCGTGTTACAAATAGTCAAGATATAACTGTAAGAAATAACTGTGATTAAAGTGATTAATTGTCAATGACTTGGTCAAATATTAAGTAATTTTAAAGACTGGAATTGTTGAAATACAATTCTCAAGTAGAATAGAAGTAGCAGCAGTAGTTTTGTAGTGCAAATAGACTCTCTCTACTTCATGTTTCTGTAGCAAACTTTTGGCTTTGCTTATCACCACACATTTTCATCTAAAAGTACCCAGTGCATTGTGTCTCTTGAATTTTATGAGGAGCCTACTTTTAACACAGCAATTTGAATTTTTTGCATTTTATCCCCAGGTAGTTAAGTCAAGTAAGGGTCAACTAATGGGACACTCACAACCATCTCACTTATTGTTAAAGATTAATTTAACATTAAAAGTGAGTAATATTAGAGAGTTTTCTTTAGAAGCTTTCTTAAATTTGAAGTTGCAATTCCTAAATAAATGGAATTTAGATGCAAAAGAAGGTGGAGTTCACAGTGCATACCAGTTTCCCTTTTTGATTTCTTTCCACCACTCAGCCAAGATGTATTTTATTGTTTAATGTAGTCAGAAAGCTAGTTAGTCTTAACAGTTTTATCTTAGTAGAGTAGTATGAGCAGTAGAGTTTCTGTTATCTGTTTCTACATTATTCTTCACATTTGTTTGCTTACATTACTCTTCATATTCTATAAATTATATATTTTCCTTTTTCACCTGCCATTAAGCTGCTATTGCACAAGAGCAAACTATTTGTGAATGCTTCAACTTCAATTTGTCATCGAAGTGTTTAGAAAACATTCAGAAAATTTTGTATGAAGGCAATGTTTTTTTGCAGTTTCAGAATTTTGTTCCTGATTAAGTTTGCTTTCACAATAGTTATTTTTCCCCCCACTTGCTAGTACGAACAAGGATATTGGAGGCTCTACTGTATTTATATTCATTTGGCTGGGACTTTTCTTTCTGTTATATCATAGCTTGTATTTTTGTTTTATTTATATTTCTAGTATGCAGTTCTGTAGTTTGCTGTTACTAATATTACTTTTCAATTAAATAGCTGATGTGAGGTCATTGTTTTTAGATGAGAAATGACAATGGTGCATGAATATTTGATGTTTTTTTTTATATAATCCAAATGTGATGTGTGAAGTACTAACCTAAATGTGGTGATGTAGAATGCATGTTTATTTCAGCAATGAAGAAAGTGAACGCATGCTGGAGTCTGATCCCCGCATTGTTCTGAGACCTCGTAGTCATGTTGAAGAAGCATAATGTACAGGTAGGTTGCATATGTAACACTAACATGTGGAAGTTCTTATCAAAATGTGTTTATTCAAATTAAATTTTTACTTTTTATCATCTTAGTTGTTACAACTTCTATCTGTGTTTTTAATTTTTAACTCTTAGTGTTGTAGTATGCCCTTACATTTACACAAATATATTTTGCTGTTTTAGTAAATCAATTAATTTTCAAATTCTGTGTATTTGAATTTTGTATAATGAGTGCAGGGTTGTTATGTTGGTTTTTTAGCAGAAACAAAATTGTGAATATATATTTGGGTTTTACTATTATGAGAGTCAAAAATGCATCAATTTTTATGAGCCTCTTTTGTCTCATTAGTATTCATTAACATTGCATTATATATGTTTTAGTGTGTAATTTATTTTATGATAGACTGAATTAGTGTGTTCTGGCTACTTGTTTTAGTAAAGAACATAGTCTCTTCAGAGTCAGTTTTTCAATTACGTTGTTGGAAATGAAAAATCTTCAAATTAATTTATATTAATTTGTTCAACAAATTTTAAATTGCTAAAATAAATTTTAAAATTTTTAAGTTCTTATGTTATCTATTTTTGGTTTTACAGTGAAACAATGCCTACAATTGTACCAAAACTGAGAAAAATCTCAACAAGTTCTAGTTGTTTTCGAAGCCAACATCTTGCTCCCCTTGCTACAGGTGAGGAAGTGACTCCGTCATTACGTTCTTCGTTTGCCAGTGTTTACTACAATATAACACCATACGAGTCTGAAATTTCCCTCGATTCAGCTTGTAGTACTTAAGCCCAGTCTCAGTACTTTATTTGTGAATATTTGTAGATTGGCATGACTTGGACTGGACCACTAAATTTTCATATTGTTTTCTTTCAAATATTTAATTACTTAAAAATAGAAAATTAAAGAGAAATGGAATCTTCTTTAGACATAGTCTCATTAGTCATAGAGTAATATAATATGTATCAGAAATGATAATTCAAAACTTAAATGTTGTAGTACAACAAGAATACTGTTACATAGGCATTAGCGCGTTTTGCTGTAGCCATCTAGTGTGTATCATGTATGTACTTAAAAAGAGACAAACACAATTTCTTAAATATGCCTTCCCTGTATAGAGCGCTTTAGTACATATATGTTACATGTTTAGGAATTAGTAAGTAGTTTTGTGCTGACAGAGCTGCTTCTAAATGTTTTTTGTATGGTTTTAATTTGGAATGTATTGGAGTGCAAACAGTCATTTTTCACAATGGCCTAATAATACATAATGTGAACTTTCTCCTGTATTGTTACTTTATGTGCTCAGGAGATGTTTTAGGTCAATATATTGCCTATATTTTTGTAGATTAGAATGATTAATATGAATTTAATCTCTGGTGGAATTATTCATGTGAAAACCGACTGTATGCAGGCAATAGAAGTTCTGTTCTAGAATAGGAAATGTTTTGAGAATGTGACAAAAATTTACACTGTGAGTGTAGTTGCATAATCAGATGTATTGTTTTATTTTTATAGAACTTAGACGAGTTTGGAATAAAAACAAAAGAAATGCTAATTACTCTAAGATTGGTTTTAATATGTGGAATTACTAATGGTCCAGTCCAGTTGTTACTTGTCAGTATTGGTATTGTGTATTTTTCATTTTATGAAGCATGATAGCTAAGCATTTTATGACTTTTTAATGGTTCTTATTTTCCTTCCATGAATGAGAATTTTATTTTTAAATAAATTCATTAGACAGGAAAGAAATTCACAGTACCAGTTATTTATGTAGTACCAGTTATGAATATCATAACCAAAGAAACCTTATGACACATGGTAGGAGTTTGAAAGAAAGGGCTCATCTCTTGGTGAAATACACTGGACTGATTGTTTTATGCAAAGAACGAAACACTATTTGATAAGCGTAAGTCAGTAAAGATAAATATTCTCCTTCATGTAAATTATGTGAGATGATATTTAAATAGTTGTAATATAATACAAGAATTTGAAAACTTTTATACTTGTGAATTAACATTAAAAATTTGTTGCTATATAGATGTCCATATACATTGTGCAGCATGTTACTTGGTTGTTGAGCAGCAAATTAAATGAGCTGCATTAAAGTTTTAATTTTGTGGTTGTGGTATACCCTTTAAAATAAATTTCTTTGTAATCTTGTAGATCTGATATTGTTGTTTTAAAAAAGATCTGTCATTTTATATAGTTTTTTGAGTATGTCTTTATAATGATCAGTTTTTACAGACAGTTTAAAAGTTTATTTTTGTATGTTTTACCTCTGTGTATATATGTATAATGGTATATCATTATTAACAAGTTAGAAATTTGTTATTAAAAATGCATTTTTCTTTTTTTAGATTTTTTTTATTTTGGTTGTGTGTACACTTATTACAGAGAAAATTATTTTGATTTGAGCGAATAGTCTATTAGTAAAATAAGAAGTCAGTATGTGAACAGTTTTAAGATGAACTGCAGATTTTGTGTTAAACTTTAACTTAATTTTATTTTCTCTCAAGAAAATAAGAATGATCCAGTGTTTAAATTTATATTTCTTTCCATCAGCCTTGTTTCTGTGCACAATAGCTTTTTAAATTATATTTGATTTTGTATTTCACAAAAATTGCAGTTGAATAATGAATTCCTTTGTGATTAGTTCAGTATTTATCTCAAAATATTGTGGGATTATCAGTGCAGGTTTTCTCTTTTCTGTATTTTTCTTTTCATTTGATACAATGTATTAGTCAACAAGAAAAATAATTGACCCGGTTGATTCTGGAACTAATACAGTTTCTTCCCAAATTCCTGAGTATGATATACAGTCTTATTTAGTGCCCTTGTGGTTTCCATAAAATATACGAAAACATTGTCTATAACTTTTATAATAAGTGAATGTCAATCAACTTAAAATAAACTTACCATCAGGTTATTGCTTGTATTTCTCACAAAATTTCTTAATCAGAAAAGTGAGACGTAAACACAACGGTATATTATTTTTGGTTCTACATGCAAGTTTATATTGATACCCATCAGAAATACAGTAAATGGCAAGTGGTATGATTTAAATGGACTGTAAACCAAATGTTATGTTATGATGCTGCTACTCCAGCCTGGTCAGTTATTTGTATGTCCGACTAATATATTTATAATCTCTTTTTGAGAGTCAAATAATTGGGAGTTTACATTTATGTCATTTTATTACCAAACATCATTGTAACTTAATTTTATTATCTCAGGTCAGTTTTGGCTCTGTAAATGACAAATAATTTTTTGTGCATCTTTTGTCTAGATAGTAACAATTTCATTTCTCTGGAACACTTATTAATTGACTGGGTCAATTGAATATTTGTGTTTTATATATTTGCACAAACATACTTAATATTTAAGTGTTTTATGCTTATTTTTGTAATTGTTAGTAAAGGAGCGTTAGCATAGTGTATTAATTAAATCTTGCATTTCAGTTGGTATTTTTTTATTTTTATGACAAAGCCATCTGAAAATGCTGCAACTGTTTTTCTGTTATTTAATAGCTTCTAACATTCCTTTTTTGTTAAATGGCTTTGCTGCTCTGATCTAAACAGTTGTGAAATGAAAGATTTGGAAGTGCAATGACTAATAGTGTGTATCTTGAGTTCTGTAATACTAGGGTACATAAATACTTACTATTAATATAACAGAACAAGATTTTCAGGTAATAATTTATAGTGTTGAAATTCCTTTTCTTTCAAACAAATTTTTCTCACTAAAAATAATGCTAAGAAATCTGGTAACAAGCAATTGATTCAGGAAAATATTGAAAATATTTACATACACTTTTTTTATAAAAAGATGAAAGGTGCAAAGTCTATGATACGTTATTGATCTGAATTCAAAATAATTTTTCTATTTACTAGTTGAAAGTTTGTTCTTCTCGGTGTCGTTTTATTAGAGGTTCCAGCAGTAATAGTGGACTAAGTAGATCCTGCTGTGAGAACACAGAGAATAATTGCCATATTCCATTATTGCAGCACTTTTGCTCTTATGGCAGGTTGCATCGCTTTGAGGGTCTCGTTTTAATAGTGAAAGCATCTCTTTTGTCAAGGGTGTGGCATGCATGTTGCAGCTATTTGTATTTAAGTCTCGTAAAGGGCAATTGGCCTCAGTGACTTTAGATCCCAAGGTTCCTAGTTGAACCCAATGTGTAACCCACAATGTCTCGGATTTGGCTAGTAATGCCAGTTTCAGAGTTAGCCTTTCTTTAGAACCAATCCAGCATTCGCCTTGATGAACGAGAAACCTCGAAAGCCCCGGTCAGTATGATTATCATGGGGATTGAACTGGAGCCTTCCGAATGCGAAGTCGGCATGTTATGTCCTGGGCCCTTCGCTCAGTGTTGCTGTAAATGCGAATGGCTAAAACTGAAATGTAAATAAAAGTAATTAATATGTCAATTTATTTACCTATTTTTTCTGATTTTGAAATATTTTCTTTGTTTAACCCTTCATTTTAAACAGCATATATTATAGAACTCGTTCTAAATTGTAATAGTAACAGTATTGGTCCTAAACTTGCTACTCCAATTCTAATGCAATCTGCTAGCAAATGTAGCTGAAAAATTCAGTTTGAAGACATAACGAGCATCTGACTGAGCAGATCGTATCGTGAACGCATTTCATGCCCTTTGCACATTGGGATATTTTTATTACTTTCATAATGGTGTGGAAATTTACTTCTGAATTGCAATTGTAGTAGGTAGTACACAGTGGGACAAAAAAAAGTTTGGAATTTTTTCAGGTTCAATTTTAATAAATGGTGGCTGATTTTAATTTTGATGTATAAAGCGTTTATTTAGACACCATGCAAAAAATTAAGTTGCCTACAAGTTTGCAAATTCAATGTATTTAAGTATTTTTAGAAAAAACACACAAGTGTACCATGGGTTGTGCATAGCAGTGCACAGTGTGTCATTTTTTTGTGATATAACGCAGGAAGGTTCGTTTTGAAACACCAAAACACTGTGTTGCTGGTCTAAGAAATCCACCTCTCTAATACAAAATCTACTGCAAGTTTCAGGTCTTTTTCTGTAAATTTGTATGTTTTTCACCCTTTTGTGACATCTTAAACAATGATAATTTCATTTATGGTTATCTCACAGGACACTTAATGAAACATTTAATGTGACATCCTTGATTACGAATACAACAGTACATAAAGGAACAGTCCCACTGTGTACCTTTGCTTGTTGTCCCACTATGTTCTTTGCACATGTTAAGTTTTCATCTACCCCCAAGAAATATATCCATTTTAAACCAGAGGTAACAACTTAGTTTTATACCTAAATAGTTACTTTCAACTACATTAAAATTTTTTCAAAAAAATTTGGAGACTCATCTTTTGTAATTTGATTCAGAAACTCTAACAAAAATAACTTTTGATGTCAAATAAGACGAGGAGTAGCATAACATGTCTTCACTTTGAACTCTAACAGCCATACTAGATTCAGTGGTTAAGTTGTATTGACTGCAGTGAATGGAAGGGGTTTGAGTAGGTTGTCTTATTTTACACATATTTCAGTGGTGAACCACTGTGTACTTCCATCCCCTATATTATTTGATTGTATAAGTATTATTAGATGTTCTTAATATAACTTTGTTCTGGGAACGATGATTAAGACTGATTCTTAAACTCTCAATTTTCTGGACTGCTGGATTTGGTGGGTACTGCAATACTTTATGTAGCATGTTACCCTTACTGCAACACTTGTGCCATGCTCTTGGTTTTGACTTGTATGAAATTTTCTCAGTTGTAAAGCATAATAAATATTATTTAATGAATACTTATTTAAATTTTATTTTCAACTAATTGTAAACATCGTGTTGAATTCAACCATGATGTGATTGTAGGATTCTGAGACATTTTCTGCTCCTGAACTCATCTGAAACTTCTCTTATGGCCAAAGCTCAGGAAATAGATCAAAAATGGCAGCTATCTAGAATTGGGAACATACAAGTAACTTGCATGTTAATTTTTGCAAACATTTGTGGTATCTTTACTCTCAGTAAAGAGGGCGGGTGGGGGTATACACAGTATTGGAATCATCACAGGACCAATTTATAATTTACAATATTGCGTTTTTGATCTCCTTACAAAACTTCTGAATAAAAGTGATGAAAATTATATTTTAAACACAAAGGCACCTACTTTTTAAGAATAAACTTGGCATGTATCTGTAACTAATACTTTAGTTACTGATGAATTATTCTGGAATTTTCTTGCATTTATTTAGTAGCAAGAATGATTTTTTGTTGCTATAGATGTGGCGAGGGAGCAACTTTGCAACATTATTTGCATTGTGGTAAATTTCGAAATTATATTTTCTAACATGTTGGTCGTGTTTCTTGCTACTGCTTACCTGGTGTGTTGTAACTTATTTAATTTTTAATTAGAAATTCAGCCATCGTTTTTATTTATTTATTTTTCAATGAGTTACATTTTTCTTTTTTAATGCCACTAATTTATTCTGAATGATTTAGCAGCAGATTAGTGTAAGTCAAAGGGTTATCATATGTATTGATAAGCATCTGTTGTATTCTACATAATGTGAAATAAGTGGTTTCTTTCTTGTAAGTATCAGCAATTTCTGAAATTAATTTTAGTATTCAAGGTCACCCTTTGATGCATAATGCTGTTGGTTCTTTTTATAAATAGTAAATTTAAAACTGATTTAAATATGAATTTGTGCAGTTCATAACACTTCATTATTCTTTTGCTGGTATTCTGTATGTACTTAGCAGTGCTTCTGTGATGTTATACAATACTATAGTGCATTTATATGCTTACATAGAGTATAGAAATATTTTTTTTTAATGGTGATACATTTTTTTTGTATATTTCAATTGATTGTACTTAAGGAAGGAGTCAAACTGTCCATATTAATAGTTTATATGGAGGGTTACATGTAAATGTACCAAAATTATGCAAACAAACGCAAATGAATAGTGTTAAACTGAGTGTAAGTCATGTTGAAGACACTATTGCACAATTAGAAGGAACGGTACCTAGTGATGATTACACTAAAATGTTTTTTTGTTTAGAAATGTGTTAAATGTTATGCATATAGTATTGTGGATTTTAATGTCTTATTCAATAACAGTGTACTAAATTTTAATAAGCATATTATACTGGCTTATGTTCTTTTTTATTTATTTACAACTGTGCCAGTGTATTATGTTAATGAAATGGAAGTGACAAACATCATGAAAACTCTGATTGTCACTTGATACTGCACCGTCCATTCTGAGTGTCTTGTATGTAAAATACATTGATTCTTATGATGATATTTGCATTGGAAAGGCCTTATATGTTGTATGTTTTGCACTAATAAGATTGGGATGTGGCTTCAGGATAATTTATGTGACAATTAGACAACTCAGAGTGGAAACAAAATACTTTCTGCTCTTATCTCTTTGTGTAGAATAAAAACATTATTTCACAGAGTTCCGTGAGAAAATTAGTATATTTGTCAAGGTGCTTTTAAATCATTGATTTTATTACTTTTTTATATTTTGTTACTTTCACTCTAAAATTTGAATTGAAGCCAAACCATTCTATACACATGTTCACCAAAAGAAAAGATGGCTTTAGAATGGCAAAACAATATTGGTTTAATAATACCTTTCACTCTTTAATTTAATTTAATTTATTTTGGTTGCTATTTAAAAACTATATCTAAATGCAGAAAATGCATCTGTTTGTAAGTTCAAATATGATTCATAAGATTTATCGTCTTCTGGTTCATGAGTAAATATGTTTGAAACAAAACGTCTTATAATTAGACATTTGATTTGATGGTTTTAAAATCTATTTTAGATATCTGAAGGTGAGGGTGTACTATAATTTCTTAAATAGCATGCATTGGAATGAAAATACCTTTTGCATAAATTTTATTTTATTTCAAACTCTGATTAAAAAATTGAAAAAGAATACAGGAAAGTAACTAATGCTAAGAGATCAGTGTCCTTTTTACTCATAATCTTTTCTGTGCAGAAAATGATATTCAACACGTTATGTGCATATTTTTATGTAGAATAAGAGATATTAATAATCTCTTTGTCCTGTGATGCAGAATATCATTTGTATTGGTATTAATCAGTTTCAGCCTGAATTGCTCCAAACACACTATTCTCTGTGTCTAATTACACAGAACAGGCATTTTTACGCTCTTACAGGTTGTATAGGAAGTTTTAGGCTCTAGGTTGGAAATAAGAATTTTGGACACTATAAAATATTCGTCTGTGGCAAGAAGTAATGAATGTCTCGATAATTAGTTTCAGATGTCTAAGTCAAAAGAGTTCAATAGTTATTTCCTTAAAGCTCTGAAGTCTACTTTTAAGTATTGGAAATTATTAAATTTTTGCTCATCAGATCTTGTAAACTTTTTGAATCCTTGTATTAACAGTAATCATTGAATACGACTTGTTCAAAAGTATTGAATTGAAAATTTTTATAAATTCATTTCTCTGCAGACATAGTTTTTGTAATATTTAGGTCATTGATTGTGAAATATAATACAAGTATGTTGAAAATATAAATTGAAATAAAATGTGTTGTTTTTGTCATTCTAAGGTCAAACTTAGTTATTTTATATAAAAATTAAATGCATACCTCAGGTGGGTACTGGTTTATTTATGAAATTGAACTGAAAGTCATTTCGTTTAATTTTTTCATTACTTTGTGAAACATTACGTTCACTTCAGAAAATATCTGTGTTGTAAATGATTTTAAAAGCTCTGAAATAAAAGAATAGTTTTGAATTAAGCTTCATTGTTAATATCATTTGATTTGTCATTGAAATTGTAATATCAATGTTCATGTTGATCATGTAAATTTTTCCCGTTTCGTTTATTAATGTTTATTGTTTCTCTTTCTCAGTTATACTAACAAAGTGTTGCATTTGGTTTTTATTTATATACTATCATAAACAGTAAATGAATTATGAGACATTTGGTAGGAAATGCTAAATTGAAGTGCTGAAGCAAGGATGGGATGAACTCTTCCTCAATGGCGGAAACTGGCAAAAAAGAAACTGAGAGAAATAATTACATGTATGGTGTATGCAGCTGTAATTATTTGCTTTAAGTAATCTCTTATTGCTAAAGAATCCCTTATTCCTCGAGTGTCTCATAAAACGTCTCAGAAGGGTTCAAAAGTAAACCATTCTTCATTAATTTTAATCTCGTATGGGAAGAGGGCCCTTTGCACCTTTCTTTTGATCAAGAATGTTTTGTGATCTGATGAGGTTTTTCTTATAGTGTTCTTTGTGATCACATTTGACGTTCTTTTAACAAAATATTTTTCTAACTATGGAACTAGTTATTATTGAGAATGTGAATTTTTTTAATAATTGCGAATAAGATTTTGATATTTTCAAGTACTATGAAAGTCTTGCATATAGCCAAAAACGGGAGAGAAAACTTCAGTTTCAGAGAGATTGGTTGCAGATTTAGATATTAGGTAAAAACACCTTTCATATTGTTATTAGTCTGGTATTTATAAAAATAATTTTATTATAATTTTTTTCAGTTTTGGAAGTTGAAAAATACTTTTTCAGTAATGTTCAGATTTGTTATTATAATCTGTGAAAACTTTTCAGATTGAGGTGTGTAGATAATATTAACCTTGTATTCCTTATCTCATTTCTTTAAATGGATGTTATATGCTTGTTGCACAAATTAAAATTGCAGAAGAAATTAATAAAACTTAATTTTTTTAATTGAAAGATAAAATAATAGAAGATTGAAAAGTTTGGTTTGATAATAGGCATGAACACCCAAAAACAAGAGAAGGGGACCTTGTGCATTTCTGGACCCTCTTAGCCTTTGAACTTTTTTTTATTTACCCGTGACATTGATACAATTAATAAACACTGTTAATTCTATATTAAACCATTTACCTAGTTGCCAGATTGCTTGGAGAGTCTCATCCCCAAAGGTTGTCAAATAATTGCCCGAACTGTCAGGCTAAAGAAAGGAAAATATTTTATAACATAGGCTTTGGGCCCTCCTTCAAAATTGTTGGGGGGAGGGGGGGATAATGCACCTCTTGTGTGCATCCCTGTGTTCATAATGCATGATTTTTTTTAAATTTCTGAGGAAGTTGAAAACTTTGGAAAAGGGAGGTAGAGAAATATAGATAAATCAGTCATTCCCAAGAGTTGCTGGATGGTTTGCAGTGCTCTTTTGCATAATAGGTCTTACGTGTAGACTTGAGATAGTATGTACTTCCCTCTTTTTTTTAATTCATAATAATTTTATTTTATCTCTATTAATATGAGAAACCAACAAGTTTATCGTGTTCATTGATCTAATTTGAACAAAATGTATTCTATATTATTTCTAATGTATCAATTTTAACTAAATTCACCTTTAGCTAAATCTAAATAATTTCTTTTGAAACATAATTTTACTTATGAGAATTAGGTTTTGTTACTTGGAATGTTCATGCGAGATTCAGAATGTTTGTTTATAAGATATACAAAAATAATGGAAATCAAGATTTCATTTTTTCCCCTCTTTGCATGTATTTGTAAGTGCGTCTTGATTTAACAGAAGATACATAAAAAGAATTGGCATTTTCATGAGCTAGTAAATGCAATGTGATTAATCATTCTTTCGTTTTATTCTTGCCGGCGGGAACTTAAACGGAGTGCACCAACTGTGCGGAGCGCAGTGTGCAGCAAAGGACAACAAAAGAACAAAAATGTCTCGATGGAAGAAGGCCTTCATCCTTAACGAAGGTTCTGTTCATGAGTTATCCTCTGATACTGACTCTATTAATAGGAACGTGTCCGTCGCCCGTAGCAAACGGTGTGATGGTCACGCAGTGCTTTCGCGTACGGAGGTTGGCGGCGCCGCGCGGGCGACTTGGAATGTGTGTTTTGGATTGTGTCGTGGTGGGGGCCGGGGAGGAGAGGATGCTGAGCCAGCGGGCGGAGGAGAGCGAGCGGGAGTGAGTTCGCGCCGTACGGCGCCGCGTTCACCGTCAGGATTGGAACTGAATGGTTGTTGGTCGGCATGTGCGTGCGCGAGTGAATAGGTGTTGCCGTGCGCGAATGAAGTGCAGTTCAGTGTGCTATCTCGTGCGTTCCCTTGAGTGATCATTTGTTGCATTTATTACAGTAACATTTTTACAAATAATAAGTGTGTGGTGTTGCTTTATGATAAGTGTTTTTGTGACTCGTACTAAATTGAGAAAATAAATAAATGATTGTGGTTCTCGTGACGTCGGTTGACAACAATTGCGAAGAGAAGAATAATGATATTTGTGTTGGGAAAGGTGGCAGTGGAATGTTTTTATTTTTGTGATATATCAACGAGACTTCGTTATTCATGGTAAGTGTAATTTGCCTGTTTATATTTATGAGGTTTGCCAAATAATTGGCGTGAAATTATTTTAAAGAATTTGCTTTTATTGTTGCTGAACGTTGTCCGTAGGTGACAGTGAGTAATTTTCTCCCCAAAAAGCAGCCAGTGTGGATTAACACCATAGAAAAAAAATTATATTATTTTTGTCGCAACCCGTAGTAGAAGAATTCCGAGAATAATGTATTGAATGTATGTAACGTTGCACGATTTGAGAGAGCATGTAATATTCACTGAATAATATGCCAACATCGATTGCATTTGCTTCTGCTACGCAGTCAGAATAACGATACTAGAATAGTTTTGCTAGGTACTACAACAGGTGGCTATTACATACACACCTTAGAATAGTTTGCGGCGATGTAAGATTTTGTAGGAAAAGCGGATTTTCTGAACAACCCTTTCATTCCGTAAGATTTTTGCTGGGTTGTTTTCTTTAACACTTTTTAAATATAAATAAGTAGCTGGTCTTATGCAATAAGTGTGGCAGATAAAACTAGTTCCTAGTGTCTTATTTCATTTACGATTCTTTGTTTTCATCCTTGCATGAAGATATTCGCAAAACCTCAGAAAAAATCTAAACATTGCACGAAATTAGACACTACTTACTATTATGCATTATACAAAATGGACAGAAAGCGTTTTTAAAACATGTACATTCCATCAAAATGCTTAATGTGGTGTCGCTGAAAGCGTAATGACGAGCTGCCGATGGCCCCAGTTGAGTTCAGGCCGCTCGCCGGTCTTCAGGCGCGGGTGCAGCGTCGATGTTATCTGGCAGCTCAGGTAGAATGCTGGACCGCGCGGTGTCAGCCTCCAAGGAGAGAGAGAGAGAACAGCACGGTCGGGAGGTTTATCTGGAGCCTGGGCTCGCCCTCCGCGACGAACGCGCGCAACGCGTCCAGATTTTACCTTTTTAATTCGCTAGTCAGTATCATTATGGCGCAAATTTTGAAATTACGGCACAAGTCTAGTGTACACTACAACTTCGAAAGTCGTTTAAACTGGCACTTCGCGCCGCTCCGGCGGTAACTGCTTAATTTGAATTAGTTCATTATATCAAGAAAAACGGCTTTCTTGAGAAGTGTTTTCTTATAAAGATGAATTGGTAATTACGCGGTGGATAGACTCAAGGATGTTTGTAGTGAACGCGAGGGCCGAAGGCCCGAGCCTCCCCGTGACTTGGATCCGGGCGAGCGCAGCGAGAAAACTTGCCGTTCAAAGTAAATTGGCATTACAATGCGGCGGGGATAAAGCGTATGAAGGGTGAAAATCGTCTATCCGTAAGTGTTATTAATTTCTATCAGAGCGCGTAGCGTAATTTGAGGGAGGGCATAAGGAGACCCCTCCCCTCGGCCACCACACTTCTCTGAGGGTGTACCGTGTACCCTCCTTAAACCTAAATTACTTATACTATTCGTTTATAAACACATTTTGCTCTTCTCCCTTATCACAAAGAAGAGAGGGAACCTCTTCGCTTCCTGTAGCGCGTGGTGAACAAGGGCTTACGAGAGGAATGGCGGCGTATTTATAACCTCGAACTTTAAGGCGCGGTGACGCTTCGCTCCGCGTGTGCATTTTCAGGTCAAGGCTCCGGCCTTCGGCCTAGGTGTGTAATATAAAACATCTTTGAGTCTGTCCAACACATTTTATTGTGAATTTTTAACGGGAGACTTGACGTTTCCCTACCCATGTCGAAGTACTTGACGAGGCTTCAGCCTAAGCGATTAATATAAATTATCTTTTAGCCTGACAGTGCATAATTTCCTACGCCTATGCCAAAATACTTGTTCAATTGATTAAGATGCGCCACTGACGTTTGGACTACGAATCAGAATACCCCCGCCACTCGTTCTTCGCTTTCGTTCGCCGATCTCGCGACGTCGGAGTCGATTTGCTACGATAAGGGATAGGAGCCACATTTTTTATTTACAGGTCTGTCAGAATTATTACATTTGCAAAACGGTGCCATTATTGTTTGTATATTATAAACTTTAACTGTTGTCATGTTGGAATGGTCAGAAAGAGCTAACTTAGCTCAAGACGAATATATTATTATTTTACAAAAAAATATGTATTTCATTTGGGTGTTTTTTACTTTACCCTGTACGTAATTTAAAGAAAGTTATGTATTGCTGCAAAATTTCTATCTCCAAATTTTGACGAAAATGCATTTTTTCGGAGGTCTCTGATAGCGATAAAATGGTCTGTCGGTATACGTAGTCTGTGGGCAAAGGTAGGGACAAGCCGGTTACAGGATATTCTCAAAAATGGAAATTTCAATTAATATATTCTAAAAAAAGTCATTTGTATGATCTTCATTGACATTTCTGAAAAGTATAAGACGTATAAAAATGGCCATTTCAAGCAAATTTTGAAAACGTGGCTTCCGAGACTTATCTGAAATTGTGATGCAAGTCCGTATGCCGAACCATGGATTTCAAAATAACTTTTGTGAAGTTGTAGCATCATAGATGTAATAGTTTTTTAGATATAGCGGTTTGACCCCCTAGTGTCGTTGTACAGGAAAGGAATTAAAATGGAAATTGAAAAGTAAAAATCGCGCGCACTCACACACACGTATACACGTACGCGCAAGCGAAAGCTTAAATGGATAGACAAAAAACAAAGATTGAGATGAAAACTCAAAATGTAAATAAGAACAAGTGGGTGTTATGAATGAACGTGAGCAAATTAATCTTTCTGAGTATGTTCTCGATTTGATATAAATAACCAAACCACCGTGCCGCCCTGAGGAAGCCTGCGACATGTCAGGCCTCCCAGCGAACGACGCGGCGTCTCCCGGATAGCCAAGAATTTATGGATTCGAGCCGCGGAAGCTTACGTGTGCAATATCGCTTCCTGTTTTTTATGAATAATCGAGGATATGTACTCAAACTTGGAAGCAATGTACGTAGGATCGAAGGCTTTCACGGCCGGAGTCAAATGTTACGTCCGCGCTGGTAGGCCGTGGCCCAGTGGGCGTTGAGGGGCCAAACGTTTCATCCACAACTGCGGTGGACACCCTCAAGGGCAGTGGGATCTCTGGTGAATCCGGGACGGCGGCTAGCTCGCCACTGAGGGGATGTCCACCGCAGTTGTGGAAGAAACGTTTGGCTCTTCAGCGCCTACTGGGCCACGACCTCTACCCGGAAGTAAACATTAATATTTGAAGCAATTTCCTGATGTTTGCGAGTGACTTCCGCGAAAGGGCTCAAAAGGTTATGTTAGTCGCCGAAGTTCGTAGTGTCAGTCTCAGGTACAAAAGCTTGCGAAATAATGCTATTATATGCAAAAATCGTGTTGATATTAGAGATAGGTAGACGCTAGACGCTTATTAGAAGTTTGAAATGGCTGAAGTTGTGTAAATTCGAAATCACAAAATGTGTTAGTAGAGACTGCTATGTAACCTGAGAAACTTCAAAAATCTTTGGAGATTTGAGGAGAAGAACGTTAAACGTCCGAACGAAGGCGTTTAGAAGGAAAAACATGATACCAGGGATGGTGCTTAGGGCATTATTCAGATTTGTTTCTGATGTGCTTAGGAGATCGTGGATTTCTTAGTGGTGTGGCCGAAAACATCGTGTGTTCTGCAAAGTACTGTTTCCCTGGAAGTGGTACTATATTTAGGATCCGTTGTTTCATATGCGAATCCCGGATTCAGTTTCTTAGCTGTGCATTGCAGAGTGCAATGGCGTTTTTCCTTTATCATGGTGTATTACTTCAGAAAGTCCAAAAACTCCTCTGCATTATTTTCATTTCATTATTACGCGTTTCATTATTTTCCGTTTTTTAAACAGAAGTACAAAATTCCGAATAACTCGTAGCAATATTCTAATACTTCCTTGGGCAATCCACTCTTGATTTACAACCATGAACGAGAGAGTACATTTTAATTGTTTTAATACGCGAGCATCGAAGTTATTTAGTTTATCACTTAAGTAATTTAAATTATCATTCATCTGTGGAATTAAAACACAAATATTTAACATGTTAGGTATATCGATCAAGCATTAGCCCTGAAAGTCATTTTAAATAATTTTGTTTCATTAGAATCGTGCGTCAACAAACTATGGCCAGTTGGTACAGATGTGACGTTATTTTGTTATTTCTTGCACAAATGTATTATAATTGCAAAAATATTTCGGATATCAGTGTACTTGTCAAACATTAGTAAACCGGGCACCAACTGAAGTCATTGCAGAGCCTCTGACCGGGAGGACCTAGGGTTCGAGTTCCGACGTTGGCGAGATTTTCCACACCAGCTGGACAGCTAGTTTGGATTCACTTTTCGTCTGGAGAAGAATTCTACTAGCGGGTTGCAGTGATCGGTAGTTTTCCGCGATTTCTCCGATTAACACCAGGCGAATGCCAGAGCAGTACCTTAACAAACGGGCCACGAGCCACGCGCGATCTCTCCTTCCTCTTCTTTGTCCTGTTCTCGCCTCTCATTTACGCACACTTACACTCACAGTTGTCGGAAGACCAATCGTAAGCTTAGAGCTTGTCCCGACTGGGGCGGTGCCCCACTGGTGAGAGATGCCCGTGTGTCCCCGCAAGCTGATGTAGGTCGGTTCCGGGACTTGCCAGCCAGCGGGAGATCACCGCCACCTCCTGCGATGAAAACACGCACTTCACTTGCGGGACTAAGGACCTTAGCAGTTGTCACATCCGGAATCGCTAACTAATCAAAAAAACACTAGTAAGTACGTATGAATCATCTGCATGCAGTGAAATGTAGTTTCTACTCTCAAGAAGGTGCTTCGTGAAAACAACGCTTGGTATGTTACATTCCATTACGAGCCACTTGTTTCTCGAGATGTTTACGATGTACGTAATTTCTAATTACAACCGATGTCTACGGATCATTATCTGATAATGGCCGCCAGGGGTGCGATCAGCAACGAAGGTTTCGTCGAACATAAATTTCGAACCGAAACACGTCGGCCGAACGCGGTTGCCTTCTTCGAGACACGTAGCGGTGCTCGTCGCTGTTCCAGCCGGCCCCGGCCCCGGCCCCTGCCCGGGTTGCCTGGTTGGCCGGCGCTGAGCGGGCGGGAGGCTGGCGGGGCGGCGTCCGGGGCCTTTGATGTGCCGCGCGGCGATCGCGGACGAAAACCGCCCGAACGTGTTCCCGCGCCGCGGCCGGCGGGGGAGGGGCGAAGCGGAAACGAAGCGCGGCC